TATCAGGTCCCTTGTAAGAAATAAGAAAATTCCAAGGCCTTGTGGGGAAGAATAGGTGTGTGAGTTGTTGTGCTGACCTACCCAGATGGCTACCGGGGAAGGCCCTTCGTGTGATTTTGGCTCTTGCTCATGCAAAGCTCTTTGTGTATCCAACACTGAACTGAGCAAAAGGTTGCAGAATCGGTCCAGGTAAAATGGTTTGAAGAATACGCCTATCTTTTTCTCAACATGTCTCCAGTCACATATTGTGGATGGCTATGAAGTACAGCTTGAGCTATAAACCTTGCCAAAATCCTTATTCTAGCAGTCCATTTCTAGTATTGCCTTGGAGATGTATTAACATAAATGACAAGAAGTTATATAAGGGCTACTTTTCAAGGCTTGCATATGCCACATCCCTAACTTGGTTTTAAACTGAAGCATAGATATTTACACAGAAGTCTCCTACAGTCAACTGAGCTTACTTCCTGGGAAATGTGCAAGTAACTGTGGACTTCCAGTAAGGAAACCTGGGAACTGTCATCTAAGGGTGATAAGCAGGAGTGAAAGCAAGCTGGTATGGGTTGGTAGGGTAAGAAAGTGGCTAACTTGTACCACCCATCTTCTGCTCTTGAGTCCCAGAAGAGAGACAGTACTGGTAAGAAATTCAAGTTACTTTTGTTATTATACTAGTAAAGATGTATAAAGGACAGTTATATCTTCTGAGACATTTAACTGTTACAACTAGAATACTTCTTGCTCAATAATGGAAACAACATGGAATATGGAATCCTGGTTGCAAAAATTTGCCAAATCATCTTGATGCACAGAGTACAAGTCTTATAACCCTTGTAATCCAATTCTAAATGTGTTTTCTCAGCAATAAATTCCAGTGAGCTTGGTAGAAAATACAGGTAAGTGTAGCCCTCCTGCCTCTGCCAGTGTACCTGTTCCAGGTAAAGCATCACTATCCTGTAGACACAGATGGGTAACCATATTGGTCTGAAGCAATAGAACAAAGTTTGAGTCCAGTGGCATCTCTAAGACCAACAAAGTTTAATTCTGGGTATAAACTTTTGTGTGCATGTACACTTCATCAGATAAAAGTTTAATTCTAGGTATAAGCATGAAAGCTTATACCCAAAATTAAACTTTGTTGGTCTTAAAGGTGCCACTGGACTCAAACTTTGTTCTATCCTGTAGACTGCCGTGTCATTACAGTCTCCCCAGTCTACTGCTGTACCTGCACGTTTAATGCATGCATAATTAAATTCAGATTTCAAAAATAAAGACATCAGATCTGTAATTAAAGATGTAATATTTATATATTTGGCAATGTGTTAATTTATGCAAATCTCATGTTTTACTTAGCCGCCCTGAGCCTTCGGGGTAGGGCGGAATATAAATGTAAATATAAATAAATATAAATAAATTAATTAATACTGCAGACTACATTCTTTAACAGAGATACTTTGTAAGCATATGGAGTTGGAAATTGGAAAGGGGGGAGGTGTGATTCTTAGCTCATTTAGGCCTTTGCTCGTGGAAAGTGAAAAAGAGTATCTGGAAAACGGAACAGACTTGGGAGACCAGATAGTGACTCAGAATGAACTTCCTGGCAATGACGCTGATAGAAGGGAAAGTGCTCTTTGTCTTTTATTGTTTGCAATTTTGTCCGGGGACCAATACCATCTATGGAACATTTTGTATATATTTTCTTTTTAAGAGATGGATCTCATAAATTTAACAGTTTTCCATACTATATCCCATTGCTCAGATTCGAGCACCTTTCCCATATCATGCATCCAAGAAATCATGACAGTTTTAATACTTTCATCCAATTGATAGTCTTCTAGTAAAAATCTATAAAGTTTTTGGATTAATTTATCGCTAGATGAGAGCCAAATCTTATCCAGTTGCGTATTGCCGAGCTCCAATTCACTTCCTCGTTTCGGGGCACCTGGCTAAGATAGGAGAATCGCCACCCTCTCAGTCTTAAGTCCAGTAGGCCCCCTACCAAACCCCTCTCTACGGGAGGGAGTTTGAGGCGTTGAATAAAGCCTAGAAGAAGTTAAAGGATCAAAGAGTGCAGGAGCAAGCTCAACGCACACTCTCTGTCGTTGAGACCGGATCTGGAACTCGCGGCAAGTTTCCCAGTGTTTACAGCTACTTGTGGGTAGATGTTCCTCAAGGAATGCAAAACAGTCACTTGGTGCTATAGCGTCATAGGCTCAGCAAATTTTTGATGACAAACTACAAAGAGTCAGGATATGAAATCCATTTTGTTCAAAGATGGAGGCTGTTACTAGGTCAGTTTAGGGCCAAAAAAGTACTGAATTAACATCTGTAGCTATATATCATCAGCAGTGCACAGACTTACATATGTGGATATGCCTTTTGCTGCCTTAGGCCGTAAAACACCTACAAATAAATACTTTTGTATATGGACTTATTCCATTCGTTAATACACTTGCAGGCGCATATGCATACTTTGCAAAAAACCACACTGGCGGGATCTGTCCTTCTAGAAATGCAGTGGATCTACCACATCTAATCCTAAAAGGGCTGAAAACACATGATTCTCCCTGCGTTCAAGAGGAACCAATAGTAGTACTTTTTAAATAAGCAAGAGTCCTGTTATTGAAATGGGGTAACAATTAAAGGGAGGACTTGTGGAGGTCTTTGCACACAGTAAAGATGCTGTAGGTCTGTGCACATAGTAATACACTCTGCTTCCCATCATGGGAAACCTGGCAATAGTCCAGGGTTGAGATGAGGGGCAAATTTTATCCTCAGGGCACTGTCAGTCACCTTTATGGAAGACCGTGTTGGGGCAGCCACTTGGGAATACTTCTAGAATGACAGTGGAGGCAATGGGGCTCTTCTAGAGATGGGGCAGCAGCCCTGTGCTTTGGCACACTTACATCATTGCAGTCAACTTGGTCTGAGGCCTCTGTGAACATTTCAGGGCCTGCCTATTCTCTGTCTGCTCAGGAACCCATTCATCAGTTCACATTGTCTAAGATTCAGCCCCAATACTGGAACCAGGTGCCAGAGCGGAGTCCCGAGGAGCCCGGGCACACAAGCCTGCCCAGCTGTCCGTTCTGAGCAGACATCTATTGATTTCTGGCATTTCAAGAGGTGCTCCATTTTGATGCCTGTAAAATAATCTCTGTATGAAAGCTGTAGTCCTCTGAAGTTCTTTCCCAAATGCTCTTTCTTTTAAAAAATAAATATAGGTATAATTTCAAAGAAATACCCTTGACAAGACCCCCTCGACCCAGTTTAGGCATGAATGCCAGCTTCCCACATGGCTACTTCTCAGCACACAGGAACTCATGACTTCCCAGTGAAGGTTCCTTGTCACTCTCCATCCGTAAATTGGTGACAAGTTGTTGCAAAGCATCCTGCCAGTATGCTATCTCCCTGCCACACACCCCCCCCAGGCGCTAGGCTGATGGTGGTTAGTGGTTCCTAGTTCCACATTTTTAGATCTAGTTTCTTGTTCAATAGAGATGCACATGTAGTTTGAATAGCAAACTGGGCTTTGAGCAGATCTGCAAAATATACTTCAGAATTCAGCAGATCATATGTCTGTGCCAAATGGAAGGAGGTGAAATGAATGAGATCACTGATTGTGAAGCAGCTGTTGGCATATCTCTAACACATCTGGCCCAGAAGGGGAAGATAGGATTTGGTGTGGAAGAAAACCATACCGACATCTCATCTTGGGTTGTCTGAAGAAGACAGGCTGTGCTGGCCTACTTCCTTCTCCCACTATTATGTAAACAATGAGAGGCCAGCATGGGATCTTCACTGGAGGCCCATCTCTGACAATCATGTCTCGCGTTCACAGTGGGCCTGTCTGCTGCTGAACACACAGCCTTGCGTGTTGTTGCGCCCAATGGATGGGTTTCTCCTTCAAGGCACCAGCACTGCATCCCTCAGGACTCAGGCAAAGGCTGTCCTGTTTACTCAAGCCTTTTTAATTAGCTTTTTAAAATTATTATTACTGCTGTTTAATGCTGCTGGGGTGGTTATTAACATGGTTTTCTGTTGTTACATACCGCTTTTGTTTTCTATGAATTGTAAGTGGTCCTGAGTGCCCCTTTTGACAAAAAATTGACATAGACATTTAAAAAAATAAAATAATATGTGCTGAGCTCAGATGCACTGAAGGGGCTCATTCAAGTTTGTTGTTGTTGTTTGAAAAGCCATATGCAAACTCTCATTGAAATGTGTCAGGGTAATATACTAGCCCTAGGAAAGAAGGAAAGAAGGAAACAAGGGTTAAGCAAATGGGAAAGCTGCAGGCAACTTTCATGCAGATCATCTTGTCTGATGGGCTGCATATACATGTATTTTGCTACATGAACACAAACTAAGGTTAGCTGCTTGTTCTAAGTGTTTCCAAACCATCTATACTGGGAAATATACCCTAGAATTTTTACCATGCATAACAAACTGTCGGAAGGAATCCTACTGTTACTTCTCAACTTCTGCACAGGAGATCTGCAACATGAAGGGGCCCTTCATCTGAAAGTCTGTCACCAGAAGGCAGAACAATAAAAGCGAACTGTCCTAATGCAAATATCTTTCTCTAATTTCTGTGTTTTCCTCAGGCTGGCGCATGTCCAGTCTTTGCCATAGTTTACGGGAATTCTCACCATGACAGGAATTACCCTTAATCTTTAACTGACTGCTGCCGGTAGCCAGCCAATGGGATGTGAAGCCCCCCGCTGCCAGCTCTTTCCTCTCTCATTCTTCACTCTCGATATGCAGCTGTGCTAAAGTATGTCCTAACATTTGGGTCCTATAGACTGAAGAGAAGGCAATTTCTTGACCTTCGGTTTCTCTTACACCAAGAAACGTCTTGTATCCTTTTTGTCTTATTTGGCAATTTTCCATTTCACTACCCAGTCTAATTATTTTCTCCAGACAAGAGGAACTGGGGAAACGGAATTCCCCTAGATAAAGTGAAACCAATGTTTCCCTCAGACATGTGATCAGGGATTGCGAAAAACAGGAGAAAAGGGCCTGCAGGCAGCCAGAGAAAGGAGAGAGAGGAAACAACAAGTGACTGGAGTGGATATCGAAGAGCCGCTTCAGTACCTGGCAGTCAAGACAGCTGAAGACAGGGCAATCCTGCTGGGATTCAATGCAAGCCTATCGCTTTGGCAGGCCCTCTGCCACCATGAAGACCTGGCTGATCTTTATATATCTGGCCACTGCTGTGATAAGTATAGGATTGGTGAGTAGCACAATTTTGCATCTATTTCCCAACCCCAACCTCTACTATAGGAGCAAAATGGAGGCATTAAACTTCATTATACTCAGAGTTGTGGCCACGGGCTTCTGTGGTGAAGCACTAATGTTTTAGGGAGTGGGGGCAGAATAATTATTCTGCAAGGAAGACATACTGGCTCGAACTTGGATTACCATCTCCTGGCTCAACCTGCATTTGGAATTCATTGGAGTTTTATGGCATTTTAAAGATGAACAATTTCTTAATCTATTTTAATCTTCCATGGACCATAGGATCCACTTCATCCTCACTTGGCAGACATATGGCCATATAGTTATGAAAAAGTAAGTTGCAAACAGCACTGTCTAAGAGCTATGAAATGCAGTAAGTATAGGCCAAGGCATAGTTGTACAATATTCAGATGTGATCGATAAAAGTACAGAGACCATTCACAGCAACAATAGCTGGAGATGATGCAGTTTCTCTAACTTTGCAATTCTCTAATGACTAAGTATTCTCAGGTCCTAATAAAGTCTTTGGGAAAGACCGTCAAAGACAAATTCTAATCCAACAGTTTCATGGTGGAGCCCCATTTGGATGTTCTTTTTTTGAAAAATGACGACTTTTAGTCAATCAGCGGAGTATCTTGGGAGACTAAAGGGCTCTGCTGTCGATTTCTGAATATTGCTAATTTTATGTCAGACGTGTTTCTTTCCTGTTTTCCCTTCTTCTTTTTTTGCACAAAGACAAACAGGCTAGTGCCATGTGGAGGGCATTGTGGACAAAAGGGCACTGTGGACAAAAGGGGATGTCTCACACTGAAGGTTTACCAGATGCATAGTTCCAAGGTGGTATAGCTGATCTGAATCACCCAACAAAAGAATTTGAAAGGGAGGCTACAGTGTAAAACTGCTGTATTAGGATTCATCAGGAAGTTTGACAGAATTTCCCAAGGACTTGGGATTCCTAAAATCTCACAGATGTTGTGGAATTGAGAGCCAGTGTGGTATAGCCGTTAGAGTGTTGGACTAGAATGAAGGAGATCCAGATTCAGATCCCCCCTCCCCGTGAAAGTGACTGGGTGATTTGAGCAAGCCATCCTTTCATAAGGTTGTGTCAGCTAGCTGCCATTGTCATTCCGGTTCCTGTGTAGTTCCCTTCACCCCCTCCCTCTCATTCCTTGTTTGCTTGAGTTATGTTATGTAGTCCGCGGAACTCGCCAAGGTCGGGCAGCTGGTTGTAGGAGGAAAGCTTCGCCTAGAATGTTTTGGGTATCTAGCATGTGAACTGAACCTGTGTTGACATTATAGAACTGTTGCGTTCCCATGCAAAGGGCGCGAATTGTATATTCTATTCCCGCCAGCGGGAACTGGGCTCATTGGTCCTTACCTGGTTCAAATGTCTATATTATGCCTTCCCTGGTTACCTGTAGTTATTCCTAACAATGTCCTGTTCTGGTTAAACCAACGCTTTGAAATAAACCTTGCTTTGCTTTTCAAAGTGGAGTTATTTTGAATGCTTGGGATCCAACAGGTTGCTGTGTGGATAAAAGGAGGGAGTGAACCACGTGTGCCTCCCTAAGCTCCTTGTAGGTATTATTCAGGGAAAATATGTTATAAACTATCGCTAGGATTGGAATTATCTTTCTGTGTTTCTTGCTTGCATTTGAGTTTTACATGAGTACATTTCGATGTGTACTCCCTGTATGTCATAGTCTTTGACCCTGCTGTATATAATCTCCATCAAGTGAGGGCCTGACTCAAGCATCCAGCAAAAAATTATGGTAGAATAAAACATTATAAGTCTTTGTGCCGCAAGTCTCCTGTGTATTTTTGCTACAATCAACTAATTGTTAGTATGGAAGAAGCTACATTTGGAAAGTTGCCCAGGGTGGAGTGAGCCACAATACTGACCAACAACCACAAGATTTTAAAGGGTTGTCAGAACGGTTGCTAATGTATTTGCCAGAATATGCTGTAAGAGGAGGCATGAACAAATTCAAACTGGTGACAGATGCCAGCTACTAAAGTTGCCAACTGCCTGAATTCTAAAAAGTCCTCTCCTTTTCATAGCAGCATAATGGGGTGTTGTTTACCAGGCAGTTTTATTTACCTCCATGCCGTGAACAGCTTCAGCTGCCCATTCCCACACATGGAGCCTCTTGTTATAGGGACAGGTCATTCTTTCTCCCCTGCCTGTTACCCAAATGGCCTACCTGTGTGTATACCCCAAATACAGGAACACCTCTCTTAAGGTGTTGGCAGCCCACGCATGCATGTACTCAAGGTAAATATTATTGGGACCAGTTTGCCCAGGTTCAGGAGGATCATGTTTTGATGGTTTGGGGGGGGGGCAGTAATACTCTCGTTTCCCTCAGCAGATCTGCTACCTGTCAGATTTTCTCAGACATGGTATTCTAGGTAGTGTTAAAGGTGTCAATCTATTCTATTTTGGACTTTTAAACCTGAATACCCCCTTTGAAGTCCTGGTTGTCAGGATTATATTGTATTTGGTTAACCTTTTCTGCAAGGATGTCCAAAAGCTTTTCCCTGGCTGTATACGTTTCTGGGTTTTCTCCTGGGGCTTGTTTTGCTAGTACTAAAAGTATTTCTGAATTCTGCACAGATCAGACCAAAGTGACTATTTCTCTCCTCCATGAGTACATGTAGGGCTCCCAGCCTCCAGGTGGGGCCTGGAGACCTCCCAGAATTACAGCTGATGTCCAGACTACAGAGATCGGTCGTCCCCTCCCCCCCCCCCCGGGAGGAAATGGCCGCTTTGGAGGGCATCTCCACGTGGCATCTCTACACGGCCCTTCTGAGCTTCCTCCCCTCCCCAAATTCTGTCCTACCCAGGCTCCACCTCCGAGTCTCTGGGAATTTCCCAACCCAGAGTTGGCAACCCTAAGTACACGTTTAAAGATGTTAAGTTTCACGAGGAACTGCCGGCTTCTGTTTCTGGGCCGCCTATACCAGAGGCACACAATCTTGCCAACTGAAATAAATCTGCTGTTGGCTGTGGGACATCCTTGTAAAATGGCTGCCAAAAACCCCATGCCAGTATCCTGATTCAGAGGACCAAAGTGGTCTCCTGTTGCTTTGGCCTCAATGGCTGAACTTGCAGCTGTCTCTTTAATTTCCTCTCTACCTGTGGTTGCAGAGTCCTAATTCTTCTCTTGATGACCTTAGCTCTTACAGGGCCACTGAAGCATTCCATGCCCAATCAGGATTGTGGGGATGTTCTGCTAGAACATCCACAGCCATGATGGAAGAGTACTCTGGCAAGGCTCCTGGGTGGATAGAAGCAATTAAATCTCTATGCAGCCCCGGTTTGTTCTTCAAAGCTTCTATCTCTTTGTGGTACACATGATGGCTGGTTTTGTTTTTCTAGGTCTTAAGTTGATTGGCTAGAAATTTAGCACCTTGCTTTGCCTCTTCTAATCTTAGTTCCAGGTAAGATACTCTACTTTGTATGGTCATTGTAATAGCAGTGGCCTGGTCTAATTCCTCCTGGATTTTTGTAAGGGCAATGGACAAATTGCCCTTATCTGTCACTAGGCCATATCTTTCAAATACCATTCTCTCAGTCTCATGCAAACATGTTTCCAATTTCTCACTCACATCCTCATACAAACTCTTTTGTTCACATGCATAGTTTACACTGTCAGTCAAAGTCACCCATAAACCCCAGGCAGCACAGGCATCTTTGTTGCTACCTCTTGGTTTGAATTTAGTACAGTACTTGGTGAAAGCTTCTTTTAAGGATCCCATCAGGTCAGGACCTGAGAAAGTGTCATGTTCTCATAGATTTCCACTTTATTTTCTTAGCCATTTGTCCATTTTATCTTGGCTAGGTGCTTGTCTTAATTTCCCATCATGTCTGTGTTTACATTTACTTGATCTGGGTATTCTAAAACCCAGGATGTTTAACCCAAAGTGATGACCCTACAGTTCTTTGGGGGGAAATTTAGTTCCTTTTCAAGTATTCTAAACTTTAGGTGGATTGCCTGCATCAGGGATTCTACAGTCTGTGCACTGTTAACATCATTCTGCTAAAATATTCTAAAACTTGAGAAATGATGCAGTCATGGAGGAGATTCTACAGCCTGTGGGGTGTTTAAATCAAGACGCTCTATTAAAGTTTAGTGAAAAGTACTGAGTTCTGACACGAGGCATAGTGATCAGCTCATAGTTTATTAACTCACTGGAAATTAAAAGACAAACTAACCGGTCTGTGGCCAGCTTTTATCCGTGCACGCACACACGCTCAAAACACCACCACCCCACTCCCCGTGATAGGCTCTGTTTACACTACCTGGTCTCAACAGGTACATACCAGGATCCGCGCGAGCCCATTGGTCCGCGTTAGGATCCTACCAGTCTATTGTTCCTAGACCCGAAGGTCTGTTTGACCGCATGGCCAGGCTAGCGCTGGCGAGGCTGTCTTAATACATAACATTTAGTTTTACAGGTGGGGTCCTGTCCCAAGTTTCAGGGCTTACCAGCTAACCCTCAAACAGTCTTGTCACCAAGCATGATGCACAGTGCTGTGCTTCCCAAGGGGTGATACCTCAGGGTGTTCAGATGCTTGAGGATTTCCTCCTCCAAGCCTAGCTCCTAGCCTGGCAGCAGCTGTTCTGTGAGCACTAGAGCAAAAAGAGTCCTCAGAGCCACAGCTCGTGCACAGAGAATGAATGGTAGCTGCAACTCCACCAGGAATACTTACTACAACTTAACTTCCCGGGAGATATGCTCCAAAGCAAGGTTCCTTTTAAAAGAGAGTTCTGCCATGCCATCAACACACACACCCAAAAGTCACAGTCACACCAGAGAATTGCACAGAATCACCAAATCTGTTTTCCCTTACCTTCCATGGTTTCCAGCACACATGTAGTGGTGAGCCACATGCATGTTAGAAAGTGCAGATGTCATGCATTCTCCAAATGGCCTACACATGTATGTATATACCTGGACTACAGGAGTGTCTCCTTCAATGTATTAGCAGTC